GATAACAAATAATGATGTATGTTTTTGGTTGGTATGAGTGGCTATAATGTAGTTGTATGAAATATGATATTATGATTGAATAATATGTGATTGTAAAGAAAAATTGATGATGTATGTTTGAAAATTTGGATATGATAAAATGTTATTAATGGATGTTTTGCAGTTTTGATATGACAATATACTCTGGAAATAAATTGTGTCGTAAATTTAGTCTAGAAGTGCTTTATTAAGTGTGAATGCCAATTTTTTGCCTCCAAGGGATTGCCTCTAAATTTTTTAAAATATATATATAAAAATTGTTTTACATAAAAAATAGAAAATTTTGAAAAAAAAGAGAGACTGGTTCATGGAAATGGAAGCCCTGCACCGTGCAGGCTTATGCTCCAAAATCAAAACCGAATCCATACATGAGAAAGGGAAAGTTCAGAAATTTGTCTCCATGTGAAACCCTAAAAATGACTAGTATAAAAACACAAAGAAGAAATCTAAAAAGGGGGCTTTCAGAAACAAAAAATTTTAAGAGCGGCAAAATCTTAAAGGAAAAAAAAAAGAGCTTTCAGAGACGAAGAAAAGGAGGCACAAAGTTTAGTTCTGCAAAAAGAGAAAAAAAATCAAAAAGAAGAAGGAGAATACCAAGAAAATCAGAGATAAAAGAAGAGAAGTTACACCCTGAATAAAATCTTCATCCTCTATTCTTCTTCAGACTCAAAGTTATATCTTCATAGGGAATGAAACTGCAAGATATATTTTTTTCAGAGACAAAGCTCTTATTTTTGCTTGTCCTGCTAGTTTAAAATGCTACAATAAAAAGTATGAGACTTCTCGAATGAAAGAAATACAAATTCGTGGATCAACTTCTGCTATTACATAACCATTTTTTATTTTTTTATTTAATTATTTTATTGTTTTAAAAAGCTGTCGTGCATCAATCACATTTCATTCCCTTTTTTTTAGTTTTTTTACTTCTTTATAATTTTTTAATTATTTTGCTTCACAAAAATCATTCAAAACTTACAATACACAAACAAAATCTGAGCCATTTTAATTTTATTTATTTTTTTCTTTACACTTTGATCTAAAAATATAATTAATTTTTGTTTCATTTTATTTATTTTTTATTTATTTTATTCTGTTATGTAATTTGTGTCATTTTATCATCATTATTATTATTATTATTATTTGTTACATTTATATATATATATATATATATTTATATGGATCTTACTTATTATTTTTATTTATTTATAATTTATTTATAATTTTTTATTATTTTATTTTAGTTTAATCATTTTGAAATCATTTATTGATTAACCTAAGGGATAGTGATAATAACAGTGAATGATCAAATTTGATTCATCTAGCATAAATTTTTTTTTTTAATTGTTATAATGTATTTAGTTTTTCTTAATTATTTATTTTTATATAATTTGTTTTAGTTTTCATTTTTATTATTTATTTATGATTTTGTTGTATTGTATAATCTCATAATGTTGATGTAATTTAATTGCATAATTGTTGAATTTTTTATTAAATAATTAAAAAATAATATGATTACATCAATTTATAACACTAACTTATAGCTTCTCTATTATCATGTATTATAAATTGATAAAGTTTATGTATATCTCCGTTACAAAGACTTTATGTAATATTAATTTATCATATATTATCTTTAATTAATTAGTTAATTACTTTAATAATAAATTAATATATATTTTCCTTTTAATCACTAACTTGTGAATCAATCAACTAATTTAAATCTAAATTATTTTATTAACAAAACAATTTATAATGCTAATATGTAACAACTCTTCCTTTATGCATTATAAATTGTCAGAAACCTAGGTGTACCAATGTTATCTTAGGTTTTATATAATATAAATCTAAAAAATAGAATATTTAATCTTTTTATTAAATAAGTATCTTCTTTAATCAGTTAAAATAAATTTATTTTTATTAAATAAAATTAATTTCATATTTTAAAATTTGTTGAATCATATTTATAATTTTGATAAATTAAATAACTAATCATAAACACGCTGTAGAGCACTTAGAACGAGTGGGCATATATTAAAAGAAATTGTGAAATGATAAAAAAAATTAAAATAAAATAAAAACGAAAATTATAAAATGTAAAAGAAAAATTTAACCATAAACAAAATAAAATAAAATAAAACACAAATTGTTTAAATCAATTAAATTTGAGATTTTCTTAATATTGAAAAAGCAATCCTCGACAATAGCACCAAAAACTTGTTCGGAAGGCAAGTGTACCCATTGAGAAGTAATACAGGTTTCTTAAATTAAGTTTCTGAAATATCGTCCCACAAGGATTGTTTTCCAATTACTAAGAATTTTCTAATTCAATTGTTTAAGCTTCAAAGATACGAGATTAATTAAAAACAAGAATTTATAAAATCAATTATAAAACTAAGAACTAAGAGCAAGGAATACAAATGCACGTCTTGGTTGAACTTATCGGAGAGGAACCTAGGGCATATGGGTTTTCTCATTCAATCCTTTATGTTATTTTTCTATTTAACTCTAAATTCGATTTCCTTGTGATTACCAATCATTCATACGAATATTATTAATATTCTTTTCTCTAAATTAACATCTCCAATAGTCATGCAAGACATCAATTTAAGAAAGCTTAAGGAACCTATGAACTTGTTAATTTAATAACGATTAGAAGAGAAAGATTGGTTTGGTCCACATAATCTTTTGTCTCGTTTTACCCTATAAATCTATTAATTAACCGAGGTACAATTGTCTGACAATATAATTAATTAGGATTAAGAAAGAAGCGCAATAGGATAAAATCTAATCATAAAACAGAAATTAAATTTAAATTCAAATATCAAATTTCCATAAATTCATGAATAATAGTTCTCATAGCCCTAACTATGGACTTAGTTACTCATGCTAAAGAAAAGAACTAAAACAATCATAAACAAAGTCATAATCAAAAGAAATAGCAAACTAGAGTGTGAGATGTGTTCCCCGGTCTTCAAGTACGATCGCTTGAAGCTCCAAGTCTCGCCAAGCATGTGCCAAGAATCCCATGCATGAGAGACGAGATCAGATGTATTCTAGAGCCAAAACTAAGATGTAAAAATGGTCTCCTTACGATGCTTGAGATTTCCCCTTTTATAGGATTTGAAAATCCTAGAAACTCTTAATAATTGGGCTTCCTGCAAATGAGCACGGCCGTGCAAGGCCTTAAGCACGATCGTACATGAGCTCGAAGCACCCCCTTACTTATTGAATTGGTCTAGGCGTGCTGACTGCTGCGAAACTCTAATCTTCTATCAATTTGGGCCCAAAATCCACTTGCGGCCTTTTTATACCAAACTACATAATTAATATATAAATTAGTGTAAAATCTAAATAAAATAAAGGTCAAATATAAATATATGGGGTGTAAAATAGGGCTTTTAAGAGACAAAAAAAAATGAATTAAAAATATTAATTTTTGATAAAAATAAAGTCAACCTGATTTACATCAAGGATAGTATTCAAAGAAATTTTTAAAAAGATGTAATAAAATATTTAAATATTACTTAATGTTATTCAAATTTTGTTTACTAAATTTCTTACATATTTTTATGTTTTAATATATGAAAATAATTACTATTTTAAAATATTTTTTTAACTTGAATTAAGCAATTATATATTAATATTTTTTTATGTATTATTCAAGTTATATTTATTAAAATAGTGAATATATTTATCTAATTAAATTATTTTTTACATAAAAACTAAAAAACAACAAAATGTATTTTAATAATCAAAATATTTTTTATACTGATTAATGACCAATTGGAAGAAAAAAAATAAAGAGAATTTATTTACTATAATTATGTCTAATTTTAAATTTATTTAATTTATATTATATAAAATAATACTATATTTAAATATAATCAAAATATACTTTATTTAAATAATAAAAATAATTGATATATTTATATTATTAATTAATTTCTTTATTAGAGAATGGAAAAATAACTACATTTATATTAATAATAATATTATTAAATTTATATCAGATAACCATTAATTTTATATAATAAATCTTTTATATATTTATATGGTAAATTATTATATATATATATATATATATAATTTAAGTTAAAATTATCGATAAAATATTTATTATTATATTATATATCAAATTTATCTAAAGAATCATAAGCCATTTAAAAAACAGTTGATATATTTATATTATTAACTATTTTTTTATAATAAAATAATAATACTTACTTTAATAATCATAATAATTTTATAATAAAGTAAAATTAATGATAATATTAATTTTTAAATATTAGTAATATTAATATAATTTTTTAAATTTAATATAATTTAAAATAATTTATTAATTTAATTATTAAATAGCTTAAATTTATTTTATATTTTCTTAGTAATTAAAATTTTAAAATTTAATTTTATAAAATTCCGTGGATTGTACTTGCATTGTCCTTTCCTTCTGATTTCAAAATCCAACTCCTTATGTACTTCTAAAAAAACAACTTACAGATTCGAGCATTGAAGGATGCTAACGTGAAAGCCGAATTTTGAGGGGGAAATGTCACTTTGGGAGCTTTTATGAATTATATATGGATTTCATATTCAACAAATCACTTAGGCCATTCCATTCCTAGCCTTGATCAATTGCGTTTAGACTTTGGGTTGTCGATTCGTTAGTTGCTACGTACCTATGGAGAACGGAAATTTATCAGATAAAAAGGCATTCAGTTTGTAGAGAATACTCTGCCATTATACTGAATATGATTGTGACATTGTGTCACTTTCCTATCATTGTTATGACTTCCCTGATCAATAAAAAATTGAAAAGTTCACGACTTGCTTGCAGATTCTCTTCTTCCCTCGCTTTTGTACAAAACCCACTTGTTTCGTGTGTTAAACATGAACAAAACTCCACCTTTTCCAATCCTTTTGAGTTCTTACGTGATTCCAAGTTTTCATGGCATCACTGTGCTATGAACACAAAAATCTTGCATGCCCATTTGCTTAAAACCCGTGATTTACAATCTGATATCTTCTTAATGAACTCTTTGCTCCATTGGTACTGTAAATCTGCTGACATGGCTGTTGCCTGCAAGCTGTTTGATACAATTACTCTTCCAAATCTTGTTTCTTGGAACATCATGATATCCGGTTATGACCGTGATTTGATGTTTGAGAAGTCATTGGAAATGTTTTGTAGGATGCGTTTGATTGGCGTTAAGCCTGATGAATTTAGTTATGGGAGTGTTCTTTCGGCCTGTAGTGCTTTGCAAGCTCCAATATTTGGCAAGCAAATTTATTCACTTGTGATGAAAGATGGTTTTCTTTCCAGTGGTTATGTTCAGACTCGAATGATGGATTTGTTTTCCAAACTTTGCAACTTCAAGGTGGCGCTCAGGTTTTTCCATGATGCTTCATGTGATAATGTGGCGTGTTGGAATGCTATTATTTCTTTGGCAGTTAAGAGCCAAGAAAACTGGGTTGCTTTGAATCTGTTTTGTCAAATGTGTTGTGAATCTCTACAGCCAAATAGTTATACATTTCCAAGCATATTAACAGCATGTTGTGTGCTTAAGGAGATGCATATTGGGAAATCAGTTCATGGGTGGGTGATCAAATGTGGTGCAACAGATGTCTTTGTGGAGACTGCTATTGTTGATTTATATGCAAAATTTGGATGTATGAGAGAAGCTTTTAGACAATTCACTGGGATGCAAGTCCATAATGTGGTCTCCTGGACTGCTATAATTTCTGGGTTTGTGCAAGAGGATGATATTATTTTTGCTCTAAAACTTTTCAAAGATATGAGAGAAATAGGGCAGGAGATAAATAGCTATACTGTTACAAGTGTACTTTCTGCATGTGCTAAACCTGGGATGATTAAGGAGGCAGGTGAAATTCATTCCTTGGTATTAAGACTAGGGCTGAATTTGGACGCTAAGGTTGGGGCTGCTTTAGTCAACATGTACGCAAAAATAGGAGAACTTGGACTATCTGAATTAGCCTTTGGCGAGATGAAAAATGTAAAGGATCAGAGTGTATGGGCAGCCATGTTGTCATGTTTTGGTCAGAACCAAAATTCTGGAAGGGCATTTGAATTATTCTGTGAAATGTTAGGAGAAGGAATGAAACCTGACGAGTATTGTATTAGTAGTGTGTTAAGTATTATGAGCTTAAATCTAGGGTCCCAGATACATGGTTACATTTTGAAGTCTGGGTTACTCACCAATATTTCTGTAGGCTGTTCACTTTTAACAATGTACTCTAAGTGTGGTTGTTTAGAGGAATCTTATAAAGTTTTTCAGTTAGTTCCTGTCAAGGACAATATCTCATGGACCTCCATGATTTCTGGTTTTGCAGAGCATGGGTGTGCAGATCGAGCTCTTCAGCTATTTAAAGAAATGCTCTATCAAGATATTGTACCTGATAACATTACCTTAATTTCAACTCTAACTGCATGTTCTGATCTTTGTTTCTTAAAGATGGGTAAAGAAATTCATGGGTATGCGCTTTGTTTAGGAGTAGGAACAGACACAGTTGTTGGTAGTGCACTTGTAAACATGTATTCAAAATGTGAAAGCTTGAATTTGGCAAGGACGGTGTTTGATATGCTGCCCCAAAAGGACGCATTTGCTTGCTCTTCCTTGGTCTCAGGATATGCCCAAAAGGGTCTAATTGAAGAGTCATTTTTGTTGTTCCATGATATGCTCCTGACTGGTGTAACAGTTGATGCCTTTACAATTTCATCCATTCTTGGGGCTGCTGCACATTTGTATCAGTCAGACATTGGAACACAACTGCATGCCTACATTGAAAAATCAGGGTTACAAGCAGATGTATCTGTTGGTAGTTCACTAGTGACAATGTACTCAAAATGTGGAAGTATTGAGGATTGCCGTAAAGCATTTGATGATGCCGAGAACCCTGATTTGATAGGTTGGACATCCATCATAGTGAGCTATGCACAACATGGTAAAGGAAAAGAGGCCTTAGCTGCTTATGAATTGATGAGAAAAGAAGGCATCCAACCTGATGCAATAACTTTTGTTGGTATTCTATTGGCATGTAGTCATAGTGGGCTAATTGAAGAAGCCTTCTTCTATCTTGATTCAATGTTCAAAGACTATAACATTAAGCCAGGTCCTCGTCATTATGCTTGTATTGTTGATCTTCTCGGTCGATCAGGTAGACTGAGAGAGGCTGAAAGTTTCATTAAAAAGATGCCTGTTAAGGCAGATTCTCTAATATGGGGAATTTTGCTTGCTGCTTGCAAGGTCCATGGTGATTTTGAGCTTGGCAAGTTAGCAGCCAAAAAGGTAATGGAATTGGGGGCAAGTGATGCTGGAGTGTATGTGTCCTTTTCAAACATCTGTGCAGATGTAGGACTGTGGGAAGAAGTCTCAAAGATTAGAAGCTCGTTGAAGGGAATTAGGATGAAGAAAGAGCCTGGTTGGAGCCTTTTATGAAGAGCTATGATGTCATTATTGGTGAATCTTAAAAGCTACTAATTTTATCTCTTTGATTCCTTGCATAAATATAAGGAAAAATAATCAGAGTTTGACATCTGAAGACTAGATTCTTGCAGCAACACAACCATCATTCTGGATGATGTTAGATGCACAACTGTCAACTTAAATGTCAAGAAGATATACAAATATAGCCATAACAGAATCTTAAATTGAAAGTAATTGCACAATTAACAACAACAACCAAGTCTTATTTCCTTAGGTGAGGTCGGCTACATAGACCACACAATGCCATTGAACTTAATTAAGAACCAAATTTTCAAAAATTTAATTAATCAAAAGATCTTTTTTAATAATTTTGTCTAAAGTTTTTTTGGGTCTCCCTCAATTCCTCTTTATCGGACTTAAGAAGAGTCAGGTCTTCTTTGTACATGATTAAATTATCTTAAATGATTTTTAATCATCTTTTCTACAATAGGTGCTATTTCAATATTCTTTCGTATACTATCATTTTATATCTTATTCTTTTTCGTGTGTCCACTCATCTACCTTAGTATTCTCATTTTTTTCATTCTCACTTTTTTCTCGTGTTTTTCTTTTAAAGTCCAACATTCACTACCATGTAATATTGCAATATGATAAAAAATTTCTTTCAGCTCGATAAATACTTTACAGTCACAAATAACTTTTAATATTTTTCTCAACTTTAATTACTCAACTTGTATTCTATGAATAACATCTTCATTAATTTTTCTATCATTTTGTATAATCAATTCCAAGTATCTGAAACTGGAAACTTGTGGTATAATATCATTTCTAATTTTAACTTTCAAAGCATGATCTTTATTGTGTTTTTTGCTAAACTTACCATGCATATATTCTGTATTATTTCTACACAAGTGAAAATCCTCATATTCTAAAATCTCCCTCTATAACTCAAGTTTTGCATTAAAGTCTTCAACTAACATTATATCATCTACAAAGAATATGCAATGAAAGATTATCTTTTATGTTATTTATAAGCACATCTAAGATTAGATTAAACAAGAATTCAAAGTAGAGTTTTGACATAAATTTATTCCAATTAGGAAGTCATTAAATATGCTTTTAGAAATTCTCACATATGTAGTTATCTCTTCATACATGTCTTGTATAGCTTGAAAATATGCTACATGTGCTCTTTTTTTTTTTTTTTCTTAAGTCTTCTATAACACTTCTCTTAGTACCCGATCATATGCCTTTTCTAAGTCAATAAAAACCATGTATAAGTTTTTTTCTTTGTAGTGATATTTTTCCATCATCTTTCATAAAGGTTATATAGCTGCTGCGTAGACCTTCCTAGCATAAAATCAAATTGATTATCTACAATTTTAATTTTTTCTCGTATTCTATGTTTAATCACCTTTTCCCACAACTTCATTGTGTGAGTCATGAGTTTAATCCCTCTATAATTTGTACAATTTTGGATGTCACTATTGTTCTTGAATATAGGAACCAAAGTACACTTTTTCCATTCATCTGACATATTCTTAATCTCAAAATCTCATTAAAAAACTTAATGAGTCACTCTAATCCTTGTTTTCCCAAACTTTCCTAAACTTCTATAGGGATATTATTGGGGTCAACCGCTTTACCATTCCTCTTAAGAGTTTCTTTTAATTCTCCAACTCAAATCCTATGATAATATGTCAAATTTAGATCATTCGCTTACACTTCTAATTTTGTTAAATTTTGACTTGCTTATTGTCTCATTAAAAAGTTTATAGAAATATTTTTCTCATCAGTTTTTGATGTCTTGATTTGAAACTAAATTTTTTCTTCTTCATCCTTAGCACATCTAACTTGATCCAAATCTTTAGATTTTTTTTCTCTACTTTTGCTAAGTTTATAAATTCTCTTTTTACCATACTTTATCCCAAGGTCTTGATAAAACCCTTCAAAAAGCCTTAGAACATGCTTCACTCACTACTTTCTTATATCATTTCTTGCCTTCCAATATCTTGTTCAATTTTCAGCATTATTTACATGTATGCAAAGTTTTAAAACACAACCTCTTCTCTCTTATTTTCTCTTACACACTTTCATTTCACCACCATAATTCTTTGTCTTTTGGTCCAAAATCTCTAAATTCACCTAAAATTTTCTTGGCAACTTTCATGACCTTCGTAGCAATATTGTCCCAAATGATGCTAGCATAACCTTGTGTCGACCAATTACCCTCTTCTACTAATTATTTCTGAAAGTCCAAGTTTTCCACTTTTAAATAGCTACTGCTTAATTCTTGAAATACTAACATGTCGAATTCTCTATTTACTACTCTTAAAACAAACATAAAGGACCAAAGCCCTATATTTTGTAGTAAGGTTCCCAAATGTATTCAAGGGACCTTTGGTTGCCATAATGTCTGGAGGAAGAATGGTTGAATGTGTAAAACCAATCATAAAACATCTCCAGCCTAGCTAAGAAAAATCCCATTAACAATTTAATATTATGACAAAATATGTGTGTATATATATATATAGATGGAGAATGATCTTCTTATATTAGTGAAGTCTAAAAACTCTTACACTTAGATTTAAGTCTTTCATTTAACTTACATTTAACGGGTAATAATTTATTATTTCACTGATTGTTAAATGTAAGTTAAATAAAAGACTCAGATCAAGTGTAAGAGTTTTTATTATTACACTAATGTAAGAAGATTATGCTCTTTTATATATATATATATATATATATATATATGCCATTAATTTGTTAAAAAAATGAGCCTAAAAATAGGATAAATTACACTTTACTCTTATAGTTTCATACTTTCAAAAATCATCTCCTTGATTTTTATTTTGGTCACCACACTTTTTCTTTTCATATCACTTAAAACACTTCTGGTGTTATTTTTGGTATTATTTACCCCTTATAGCATTGATTAGAAAAAAGTAAAATACAATGGAGTAAGTTAAGAATGTAAAACTTCAAAATAAAGTATAATTTATCCTTTAACATACAATAAGTACTCAAGTGAGATATTAAAGACAGAGTAGAAACTGCCTAAGTGCATTAGTTGCTTAGTTGTTATTCTATGATTATAAAAGGCTAAGAATTGACATTAACCATAGTATATAATCACTAAAAAGAGCTTGGTCTTGTTTCGACCTAAAATCAAGGGCATGATAGTCTACAGTAAGGAGTTTGCGAGGAGCTTCAATTTAAATATTTCATAAATGACTTTTGCTGCTGTATATCTAAATTTTCTTTAAGTTTTTTAATATTGGCTGCATGCTTCAGCCTTAGAAACGAGGTTTTAAAATATACAGAACATAAAAAAAGTTAAATGAGTACTTTGATTCCTATATAAAAGGACAAAGGAGATGTTAAAATTGTGTTAATTATAAAGGGTAAAACTTATGAATTATATTATAAAATTATCAGAAAAATTAATTTAGCTTAGATTAAGAGAAATTAGAATTGCAGAGAATCAATTTAATTTTATGCAAGTAAGGTTTATAACAGAAGTTATTCTAAGAAAGTTGATAGAAAGGTACTGGAGCAAAGGAAAATATTTATTTATAATTTTTATTAACTTAAAAAAAAGCATGTGATGACATACTAAAAGAAATGTGACTTTGAATAAGAAAAGTATTTGTATGATTTATATACGGGTTCTACAAAACATGTATGATAAACTAACTACAAATTTACAAATTCTCAATTAGATGAATAAAAACTTTTATATAACAATAAGTTTACTTCAAAAAGTTTAATAACCTATTCTTGGAACTGATTGAAAGTAAACAAAAGATTGTTATTTAAATGTATGCACTAACGAGGAAGGCCACTAAGAGAGTTGATTGTATGGTTATTAACTCCAAGAAAACAGTAGAGGGAGAAAGAAAAACATTGGACGAAATCATAAAAAGAAATTTTATGATAAATAATTATTTTTTAAAAATTATTTAATATTTTTCTAATGAAATTGTTTGATCCATGTAAATGGTTTCATTTATTAAGAAGAACTTTGATGTTGTTGTCAAATTTGTCCTTTCGTTGTAACTACGTTAAATATCATCTTTAGTTCACTAAATCTTGTCAAAAATTAAACTTTTCTCGTAGAATAACAATGGGACAGCATGACAAAAAAAGAGATCTCATGTCAGGGTGAAGGTTGCGCATCAATAACAAGAAGTCCTAAAACTAATTTATCATTGTTAAAAAATAAAGATCACGTGTTTGAAGCAAAATGACAATAGAAGAGGTGACCGAGATGGGTACATTTTGATCTCTCATTTTGTCCACTAAATTGTACAAAATTGCATATGTTGATTGCAATCTAACATTTAAAGTAATCTCGTAATCATTTTCAATAATTGTTGATAGAAGAAAAAAATGAATGTTCAAAATTAAATTTGACAAAAATGGTTCCTGATGTTAAAGTTAGTCATAACATTATGGGAACTCTTCAATCAGTTTTAATAACTGTGAAATGAAAAAGGAAATAAATGAGTGCTTGAAAGGTTTAAACCATCAATTTTTAGTAAGACGACCCAATTTTTAGCAAGATTTAGGCAAACTGATGCAGAAATTTAATGTGATATACAAAAAATCTGACACAAAAACACAAATTAGAAGAATAAATTAAACAAAAAAAAAAGTTCAAAGACAAAATTAAAACTTAAAATAAATTAAAGAATTAAAATACTATTATTCTTGTCCCCTCTTTGTTATAGACTTAATTCTTCCTAACATGTGGAAGTTACAAGAGATAACAAGTAACCCATTACTTTTGTATCCATAGGTCATTCCTTCTTGTCATTATTAATGAATATGTATCTCCAATTCCAAAACAGACTTGTCTATGTTACAACATGGTTAATTTACTGAAAAATTGTAGGAAAATGTAAGGACCCAAAATGATTGTTGGGCTGTAAAAGGAGAATGTGTTCATCAATTGTCCCATGAGCCCAAAGTTGCAAAGGGTGGCGAGTTGCTGAGGGGTGTGTCCATAA